TGGTTGTATGTTTTGATCTTCTTTGTCAGCAAAGTAAGATAATATAGTCTGACTCTTTTAGTGCTGCTTACTCATGATCCCAGCCAATTACTTGAGTTTTAAACTCTTTGTTAAGGTAAGTGTCTTCTTCCAATGTGGAGAATGTACTGTCCTAAGCTTCAGGGGTTTGTACAACTGTTTTCAGAGCTACTTCTAGGGACCTGTAAATTTTCAGTTCCTTCAAGGTGGTATGATTAGGGGCAAGGTGTTTCCTCTCCACTGCCACAACAAGCTCCACCACACCAACACTCCTCCTCACCCCAGGACCGCCCCTCAGAACTGTGACCCAGATACAAGCATGGGCAAAGCAAGAGATTCCTGCCTCAGCACTGGCAAAGAGATCCCTGCAATCCCCCTCTGATCAGCCACTCAATTCCCCCTCAGTCTGTGGGCCAGAAGCTCAGGAGGCAGCCGCTGCCCCAGACGCCGTGCTCAGGACTTGTGGCTGAGACCAAGCTCCTTCTCTCATCTCAGTGACAGACTTTTCCCACTGGCCTCCTAAGTTGTCTTTGGTGTTCATGGGTTGAGAAGTGTGGAAACCGCCCTAGCTGCCTGAGATTCAGTTCTCTGAGGCCTGCTCCAGGTTTGCTGCGGCCTGCACACCCATGCGATATACCTTTACAATCAACCATCCAGGTTGTCTTGGGCTGGAAATTTGTTTCACTCTGTCTTTTTTGTGAGTTCTGCTGCTTTAGAATTTGTATAGAGCCTTTTTTTTTTTACAGGTATTTGGAGGGGTTTGGGGGAGAGCTCAAGCAAGTCACTGCTTTCACTCTGCCATCTTGGCTTTGCCCCGTACCCCTACATTGTAATAGAATAGTGTGTCTATAACTTTTGAGATGAACAAATCTTTGGGAAAATAGGACATATCAATAACATTACTAGTTTGTGAGCAGTGCTTTGAGTTTCCTTTCCATCCCTTTGGATGAAGGGTAGGACCTTTGCAAAGCTATGTGGTTTGTATGTTTATGCCTTTGTCTGCTTATGCCCAAATTGTATGAATGGTTACATGACTTAGTGAAGCAGGAGAGTGACTTCTGATTAGCTGACAACTTGGTGCTAAGTATAAAATTTTACTAATAGCATAGATTTTGGCAGCCAGAAGTAAGATGGAGACAACCTATACAAAAAGAATCTGTAGTCTGTCAGGAAGCTAAAATTCAGGCAAGTCATAACTTTGATGTCTTTTTATGAAAAATAGTTTTTATGCTGCATGGAACAAGGATCCAGTGTTATATGGGTTTGGGAGGGGAAAAGGAAAGTAAGGGAATAAGCATTTATCATGTACCTAATTTGTGCTAGACGCTGTGCTAAGCACTTTATAAACATTATCTCATTTGATCCTCATAACAATCCTGGGAGGCATGTACTATTATTACCCTCATTTTACAGTTGAGAAAACTGAGGCAGACAAAAGTTGTGACTTGCCCAGGGTTACACAACTACTAAATATCTGAGGTTAGATGTGAACTCATTTCTTCCTGACTCTGGCCCAGCACTCTATCCACTATGCCACCTAGCAGCCTAACTACTGAGAGACAGTAGGTAGATTTAATAAATCTTGGTAGCCATTCAGTTAATACTAACTTTCTTTTACACATTATCATAATCATGTTTCTGAATTGACTCATTTTCCTTCTAAATAAATCCCCAGAAGAGCCCATTCATTTTTGTGAAAGTATATGACATTGTGGATAGGGGAAAAAGGAATTACGTATTAGAATCAAGCTAGTAGGATTTGGAATATGGGGAGAATCTAAAATTATAGACTTGTTATGTGATTAGACAGGTGGAACAAACATTTGAGCTAGAAATTCTGATATCTAGAGTATTTAGATTTTATTGGGAAGAAACTAGTGCTTGGGGTAGATTTTCTATTTTC